CCAGTTTGAGTTTTATTTCAGAAAAAATGCCATAAAGTCTGTCTAAGGATATGTATAAAATAAGATTTAACCGTCTTCGCTGTAGGTGTGAGCTTTCCATCAGACAGGAGTAAGACTTACCCGAGGAAGTGCTTAAACTGTTGCAGACAGGAACAATGGCAGACAAAAGGTCATCGCGAGAATCCACTACTGCTGGCGGTAGCCACAAGGCAGCGACCTCGCTTCCACCTTAATGCCCTCCCACACACACACAAACACGGACACACTCTGACTAACAGAGCGCCCCTGCTTCCCCATCTCCCTCCCAGCCATCCAGGTGATCCGCTTGGCTCACATTCATGAGACAGGGAGCGAGCGCGAGCAGTTATCGTCCAATAGGGAGAATGTCCTGGCTCATTATCGGCGTAGGAGGCCGAGCGTGTCACCTGGAGCTAAGCCTCGACACTTGACTAAAAAGTCAGCCGGGGTTAGCGTGAGAGCGCGAACGTGGGTGTTAGTCATTCTCCCCGCAGCCATCACCTCCACCATTGGCCTGCCGAACAGTAAGAGCTCTTTTTCCTCTCTGGCTCGGAGACTCCAGCAGGAAGGGCTTTTAGCGTAGCCTCCTCTGGGCACCTGATGACTACTTTGGGATTGTTAAATAAATGTGATTATACCTGTTAGCATTGTGAAGTGGTTTTTCTTGGCAGAACGCAAGTGGAACACCTCTGAACTCGGGCTTCAGAGCATAGGAGGGTGGATTTTATGGCATAGAGTAACCTAGTGTACTTGGGCATTGAAGACAAATGTTCTTGATTTGTTGTAACCCAGCTTCATTTAACTTGATGCTACAATCAGATATCTGATATTTAAGGAAGCAGAAACAAGTTTTGATGCTTAAAATGAGGCACAGATATGGGTTTGCATGATTTTAAGAGTTAGATTTAACAACTAATGACCCAAAATACAGCTCTGAACCTATTTGCAACCTTGTAGACAATCATATCTCATTTTTTGCTTTTATTAAATTAGAAAATAATTTAATGATTTAAAAGAAAATAATCATTCCATCTGACATACAATAAAAGTTGTTCACCTTTTACCAAAAAAGTCAATTTCCAGCCCAAAGTCTAAGTCATCAAAGAGTTAATGTGTCGCTACAACCTGATTTCTATTATTTAAGGAGCCCAAACCACTTTTCTATGGTTAAAAATAGGCCAAATGTAGGATTTGGGTGATTTTAGGGGTTAGTTTTAAGTACTTAGACACTAATGTATTTTTTGTGATGAAGTCACAATTAAATGATGAGCCCAATCCCTAATGATGAGTTTAGGAGACAAGGAAAAAAAGTATTTTTGATGCATATCAGTTAGAATGATCCTTTTTGTTTTGGTATCCTGATTGCCAGAAAAATAGCAACAAAAAAAAGATATTCTAATTGCCTAGATTTAGGGTTGTGGTCATAACCAGTGATTACTTAGACCTCACAGAGTTTAATCAGGTTTCGTCAGATGTTTTAAAAGCAAACTTTGGTATCAAAGGCCCAACGGATCTGAACGTAAGCTCCTTTTTTGACTTTTTATTCTGTGTCAAGCACGCTCGGCTTGTACAGACTTATCATATATGCAAAAGTTTTCCGACAAACAGATGCGTGCGGTCAACATCAAAGACGCAAGTTGGTAGCTGCCTATTCCTCCAAGTGACTTTGGGCATCTTTGAACGCAGCATGTGGCCTGACAACTGTTATCTTTGGTGGGGTTTTTTCTTTCTTTTTTGTGTGCAGGAGTCGATTGTGATTCCAACATTAAAAGCGTGTTTTGATCACTGGAGCTACTCATTCCCTGTCAAACCTGAAGCTTTGTAAATACAATCATGTTAGAGTTGGACTAAATTAATTCCACTGGCTTCTCTGTGTCTGCAGAGTGCAACTGTCACAGCTGAAGAATTGCCTGCGCCATTGTTTTTTTTTTCTTCCTCCCTGACTTTATCAAAGAAATGATGAGATTTTAATAAGACTTTGTCCCTTTGCACTCTTGATTTTTTTCTCAGGCTGTCATTGCTGATGCTTCCAGCCGTACTAATCAATATTAGTCCTCACTCTGTACTTTTTTTGTGAGTGACAGAATAATGCTGGGACTGTGAAAGGGTTATGTCAGATAGCTTAAAACCTGATATTAAACAAGAATTGCGCTGCTACACATGTCACTTTAATTATCAACAAAAACGCAAGTCGAAGAACCCCCCCCCCCCAATTTACCTTAAGAGGAGTAGAAGAAAGCAAACAGGTAGCGGCAACAGTTTGCGAAACGTCGTTCATAATTGCTTTTGTCAAGGATGACACTTAAGGTAAGAAAAGGAGAGAAGAGGAGAGGCACTGGAGAAGTAAACACTATCTTTTCTTTGTCTTTCGCTCTCCTCGGCAACACAAAAGACTGATTAAGAGTGAGGTTCGGGGAGGGGGATGAAATAACTGCCTGCGAAATATTAGTAGGTTAGAATTACTTTGTTGCTTGACACAATACCAATAGATGCTTCATGCTCAGAGAGGGAGAGGCTCTTGTCAGCAGTGGCACCTAAACAATGGCAGCTTTCTTGACGTTAATACTGCGCGTTTGACTTGACGAGCACCCCACTGTCATTTTGCCTTCTTGGAGGTATACGTTGAATGCGGAGGAGACAGCTGACGTTCGGGGAAGATTGCATCCACGGAGACAGTTCAACGCCCCCGTGTTTAAATTTGTTCAGAAACTTGAGGACAAGACGTCACGAGAGATAAGAAAAAGCAGCAGGAGACATAAACTGGTGTCAAAAATAAAAAGAAAGCTCCTCTCTCTTTTTTTTTCTTTTTCTTTTGCTTTACTTTGAGGTCCGGTGTTCTCAGTCCTGCCCTGAAAAGTTTGCTCCGCTCCCTCATTCCTTATGTGGGAAGTCAGAACGGTGTGCATTGCTGTGGTGGATGTGTTGCTAAACAAAAAGAAGCTCCCTAGCTCCTTTTATTAGGGAAGAATAGGCCCTTTAAAACCTGTCCAGCCTTAGATAATTTCATTCAGCCGGCCCCTGCCCGGCCGTCATTGAATCTGCATCCAGAGATCAGGTTCACAGCAACGGGTTGATAGCTTCCCAAGCCTCTTGGCCTTTTGTTCTACCAATCCTGTGCTGCTGCCCCCTCCTCGGCAAGCTGGGGAGGAGGGGGATACAGAGCTGATGGGACATTGCTGAGGAAAGTTCAAAACTTCAGGGGTGAAGGGGCGCAGAGAGGTGAATTCCAACAATTTTTAAGTTAAGAGATTTCTAAGTCTGGCAAACTTTCATCTCATTCAGACGTCTAGACGTTTGACAGGTAGAGACGGCTCTCTTTCAATCCAACCTTTCAAATAAAAGCACAATATCAATTGTACCAAGGTGGATGTGGACCACCCAGGAACTCCTAACGTCTCTCTCCACTCGTGGGTCTCCTGCCTCGGTTGCCTTTTTTGTCGTCCCCAAGGAGCATTACTGAGTCTGAACTTGCCTAAACCCTTGTGATCACACCTCTTGAAAAGGTTTTGTTTCCTCCGTCGATTGGTATTCGAGGCAGGTCACCGCACTCCCACCCTCCTCCTCGTCCTCCTCCTCATCTCCTCCCCCACTTTCTGCCTGCCTGCCACCCCTGCCCACCACCCCCAACTGCCTCCCCTCCCACGTTTGAAAGCCCTGTTTTCATTTTAATTTGCACCTGTTGTGCAGTTGTTCGCTGAAGGCAAGTGCAGACCAGTCAATCGCACAGAGACGTGTCAGAAGGAGATGTGGGGAGGCTTATCTTTTGATATGTATAACGTTTTCAGAAATGCCGTGCATGAACTTCATCTGGTTGGCACTCCTGATTCTCAGAGAGTTCAAGAGGCAGGGACACTTGTAGCTATAACTTTGGCATAAAAACCGCCTTAATTAAGCTTGTTGATTCCTCGCAGGGTCACAATGTGAGGAGTTCTGCATATTTTCCACAAACAAGATATAAATCTATTGATTTTCACCGAAGCTCTGCTGACTTGTGGGCTCGCTAAGGCTTTTTTTATGACTCGGAAACATAAATTCAACGAAAGCCTCCACCTCTTCACTTCGGTGGCTCAGACTCTGGGCCCTCCCATGATTGGCTCTCACCACAGAACATTTTTGCACAAGCTGCCAATGAGGTGTGTCCCCATGTGATGCCATCCATCTGCACTGCTCCAATAAGTCCTCTGACGTCCCTTTTCTGCAGTGATTTACGCCGTGGCGCGTACTCGCTGAGAACCAGCCGATGGTGGTGACTAATTTGCACGAGAGCCACCTTTGATTGAGTTCACAGCCCTTATTTACAGGCCGTCTATTTTAAGAAATGCAGGCATATGTCTGGGACCTGGGTGTTGTGGAACTGGGCGAGCCCTGCTGTTGGAGTTTTGAATGTGTGTGTGTGTATGTGCCTAAAGGCGCTGCCATGCTTTTATATTTTAATATGTTAGGAAACATTTATATTAATGTTCATGGTTCACTGGCAATGCAAATGTGAAGACATCCGAGGGCTACATGCAGTGAATAATCTAAATCACTATAGGTTAAGCCTTTTGTATGCATAGCAACAACAGTTGTAATATTGTACGTGCTATGTGGAGCATCTCAAATGTGAGCGGTATGCTCCGGAGCAGAGCCATCCTGAAAGGTGCAGCTCGTTGGCATCCAAGGCATGTGAGCACGGCTGAAAATTAGTGGCTATTTTGGCTCGTATCTCCTCGACAGCTGTCTGCCCACCGCTGTGGTTTAGTCACAAATTCCAGCCGTGGATGCTGTAATTGGGGTGTAACCCACCAAAAGAAAAAGGGGCCTACGCCTTGCATTGAGCAGTAATGTGGGGTTATCCTTTTAATCTGCGGATAGACCTCAGTTTTCCAAAACTGGTCTAAATCCCTCATCAGATTCATCTATCCACAAGAAGTTGTAGAGAACTGCATTATTTCTCCGCCGTGCTTTCCTGTACTGACCAAATTTGTTCTTCCTTTGTGTCACAGCTCTCAACTACGAGAATGTGGTGGAGACCGGATCAGAGACGGAGGAGGAAGACAAGCTGCCAGTGTCTGAGGAAGACCCTCTGATCAACGGAACCAGCAGCCCGGCCAGCCTCACCAACCCTGAGGTCTCGCCACGTATCGAGGGACACGGCCTGCTGAACAAGGACGATGATGACGACGAGATGAGGGACAGTGGCGTGGAGCACATTTGGCCCGACAATGACATGCTGAGTGCTTCTGTGGATGGTACTGGTGAGTGTAGAACAAGTAAATTCAGTCATGTCAACTGTAGGAGTTTGGTAATAGTTGGGTTGCAAAGCAGCTTGCACAGGCAACCTTAATGGGACACTTTAAAATGAGCCTTGGCAGTTGTCAGATGTGTAGAATGGCATCAGCTTGATGTCGTGATCGCGGATAAGCTCTGTGACTTCCCAAAGTAACTCTGTGCTGGATTTTTCTTGAGCTTGTAAAGCTGGCAAAAAGGCAAATTGATGATTTCCTAATTAAATTCTGCTTGGCTTTCAGTCTAGGTTTTGTTGACTAGAACAGTTGTGGATCTGCCCACTGAGGTTCCTAAACAGGCAGCAATCTGTTGCCTGAAATGACAAAGAAAACATATGGGGGTGTTTATTCCAAACTCGGATATCCACTATTTGAGAAACGTGACCTGCACTATTAGAAATATCAGAAGATGATAGAAGAATATATTTTAAATCATGCAAACATCCATGTTCTTTTAACCCTTTGCGGTTTAAGTTCTTATAGGCGGTAACACTAACACCTACCCTACCCTCAGCCTATGTTTTGGGCTTTTTTGTAGAAGAAATGTTAAGTTTGGTTGATTTTGGTCAATTAGGATGGTTATTTTCTTTGTACCCTGATTGCCAAGACTTAATAAAGCAAAAATTAGATTTGAGATTTTTTTAGGTTTCAAGTTAGGGTTGGGGTTGGGAAGATTTAGAACCATAAGAACTCTTGGCTTTTCTTACCAGATGTGTGGGGTTCAGGTGAGCTGTCAGTCAGAAAAACTACCACTAAGCTCACTCATGGATACTCTATAGTGAATGTGTGCTCATCCTGCCACTTGTGGTATCATCTTATGCTGTAAACCCCACCCATCTGGTGCCCGAGCAGACTTAAACAAACGCCACGGAGCGTTTTGCAAACAATGCTTGAGCCAGGTCTGACGGTGAAGCCCCGATGACGCTCCCTCAGCAGACAGACATGATAAACAGTTTCTCTGTGAGCGGCAGAGACCATTTGGTTCACGCTTAGAGAAAAGCCAAACAACAAAAAAATATTTACAGTAATGTATAAGGAGGAGGTGGGGTGGGGAAGAAGCCTGTGAGCTGCAGGAAATGAAATCTTAGCGTGTTTTTATGGTGTTTCAGCAACGTCCAGCAGTGACTGATGCTGCTTAATTCGTCTCGCCCCTAACAAGCTGCCTAATCCCAGGCAGGTGATACCTACCCCAACTTGACTGACTTATTGTCTTTTGTTTGAGCAACTCCTTCTGCAGGGGCCCCAGTCACAGATGCTTGAAAGATAAATACTTTTAATTAGGGGGCAGGGTATAATCATTAAAGGAAGCCAGACTGCTGCAAAAAGTCATTAACAATCTTAAATGAAATTTTTATTTTTATGATAGCCATTTACATGTATAATAAGAGTCAATGATTCTTGGAAGCATGTGACAGGAACAGAGTATGGCGAGAAGTCATGTAAGACAGCCCATTTAAATGAGCTGGGCTTTGCTATTCATTTCTGCTAATGAACTAGCTGTGCACAGTGCCGAAAAACGGGGGAACATTCAGCAGTCTTAAATTTTAATATGGGGGAAAATTGCACATTTATTAGGGATAAGGGGGGGAAAAACTTAGCGGGTATCAACTTTCACTTCTAAATAACCGTTCATATTGCCTCCTTAAGGGGTGGAAGAAAGAAAAGACAGTTTGGTAAATAAATCAAGATAAAGGATAAACAAGCTGTCATTGCACACGGTAATTGTTTATTTGATAAAGACCTGCGGTGCCATAATGTCTGTAATTCAACTATGTTGCAATTCCCAGATAATATGCTTCTTGTGTGATAAAGCGTCTGACATATTTCGGAGAGCAAGTCAAGTTCATTAGAGCGTTTGGGAGTCTCTTTCCCAATCTTGCGGGTGCTGTGTTTCCCAGCCTGCCTTTTTCTTTCTTTTTTTTTTTTAACATCCGCGGTGCCTAAGTGTCTACAGTGATACCTCAGCACATAACTCAGGCCTGAGATAAGTTAGCACCCTCCCTCCTTCGTACTCGGACTGATTTGGTCGTCACTCCCCTATCGAGAGTTTTTGCACAGGTCTTGGAAGCGTGATTGAATGAAGGTCCTGGGAAGGGTTGGGAATATTCGAGCCAAATAGAAACTGTACGGGGCAAAAACAGCCGAGGTGACTCTCCCAGACACAACTACAGCATGTAAGAAAGAAAAAGTTTATCGCTGAGCCTCGTCTGATTCCACCGCACAATCAGAGTCTTGTGTCTGGCATTGTCCTTGACATTCCTTAATCCCACAGTGAGGCTGGACACGATGTGCTGGAAAGCATGACATCATTATCACTGACAGGCGTTTTCAAATAAATCACCTGTCTTCCCCCCGTTGCCCTTTTTAAACCCCTTCTCCCAGCCGTCGGTGGGGGGGCAGGGGGATTTCTGACAGCAGCGCTGTTTGCTTCATGTTTGTGTTGTTTGCAAACAAAACAAAACGAAAAAATATATTTTTTTAGCCAAATTTGGCCTTCTGTTTTCGATCAAACAGTGGTTCTTGTTTTCTTTGCACATCTATCGAGTTGTGCAGTTATTAATTTGTCATTTAAACACCTACTGCAGTCCAGGACTTTCCCATAGCGTTTTAGATGCCTATCCATCCTGCCAAGAATAAAATTCAGAGGAAAACACTGTGTTCTTTGGCTGCTAAATGCTCAATTTCGAAGCAAGCGATGGAACAGAGTATCTGCCATTGACAAGTCTAAAAATATCCCATTTTGCATTAGCCTTCTAAAACCTTTAATCCTGCCACTTTTGTTTTGTTTCCGAGATTCAGAACTATTAGGCGCTTGACTCAAACATGACAGATTCAGGATAAATGAGGCTAAATGCACAAAGGCAGAACTTTAAAGCGCCTGTGACTGCGGTGACCGGCCATAAAAACAGGAATGTTTTCAAAATAAACAGCATCTGAGCTGCTATGAAAATAGGTGGAATTACAGTCGGGCCAAAGGTAGTCTGGACTCCTCCTGAGTCCAGAGTCGGCTCTCAAACCTCAACATCACTCTTCAAGGAGGTGTGTACCTTACCGCCTCAGGTCTTCAGTGATTTACTGCTAACAAAACACACTTTTCCACCATTTAGTGGACACTTTCATCCAAGACGCTTTCCATGACCAAGAATAGGCACATATTTGTGGTATAAGTGGATCCAGCAGAAATCAGATGCCTCTCTTCTTTTGCTTTTCTGACATTACTTGCAGTTTTTGTTTTCATAATGTAACATTTTTAAGCTCCCTTTCAAGGATAAACTCACTTTTCTAAGAATTCTTCTCTAAACAGAAGCTAATAACACTAATGTTGGACATTTTTATTAGTTTAAGGCAGCAATTCCCAGCCAATGACACTAATCATAATTCCCATCCATTGCCAAGGGCGTGTTTCTATATTCTGTGCCCAGCTCGGCTAATATGAAAAACGAGAAAATACAGTTTATTTTACAAACTAAATATAATTGAACTGGCTAGCTTATTAGCTTTGCTAATAATATAGCTAACAGTTAGCTTAAATTGTGGACAACAGTTGAAATAGGTAGCTAAAATTAAGAATTTACAGTGATTTTTTTTAGTAAAAGTATAAATAACAATTGAAATAAAGACTTAAAATTATGAATAGAGAAATGAAGATTTTAAAGCTGCCAGGGTATTAGAAATATAGATAACTGTTTGAAATAGCTAAGAGACTTAAATATATTTTCATGGTTTGAGTCCAGTTTGGCCCATAGTTTCTTTGGATATACACTTAAAACAGTGAACTAAAATTGCAAATTTTGGTTGGAAATAAAGTTGGAAATTCTTTATTTAACAGTATGGCTAGCAGTCACTTTGAATTGCAAGCTAAAAATGTGGATTAACAAATGAAATAGCTAGACAACAACATGGAGTAACAGTTATTACTGATCCCTGTCATGTCGGGGGGAAAAGCACAACTTAACATAATGATTAAATTGTTATAAATACATTGCTAAATAGAATAAAAAGGCATTACATTGCGTGTAATGCCTTTTTATTCTATTTAGTACCAGTTTTAAAACAAGGAAACTAATTTGAGTCTCTCTGAGAGAGGGTTGTGCGATATGTAAACAGAAAAAGTTAAAAAGAGCAATGAGCCACTGTCACTCACTGCAATGGCACTTTGTCCCATTTGAATGTAGCTCAGCACTGGCATGGATCTATGTATTTAAGTGTCCCAGAGGCCATAGCAGAGAGGTGTATGTGGTGTTAGTCTACCTCCTACTGGAAGCAGCCGTCCCTCCCTTTAGACCACAGATAACAAAAGTTCTCCAAGGTAAATAGGGGAGAGTGAAGGGCCAGTAAATCCCACTGGTCATCCCCTTGCGTCAGACTAAAAGTATGCAGTCAAATTTGATTACCCAACGCAAACACGGTGCCTACGAGGACACAGAAATGTGAGGGAGTTTTAAGCACAAAAGGGTGGACGGGGTGGGGGGGAGGCTTTTCTACATTCTGATATCTGATACTTGTGGGTATATTTTAATCTGTGGTGGAAGTATTTTTTTTTATCTGTTTTGTTTTGTCGTAGCTTTAATTTATGTTCTTTAAAACCCATTTATTTTCCCATAGTGCGACTGTGGTTTTGATGCTGTTTGGCAGACGTGCAATCAAATGTACAGCATGGGGAAAGTTAAACTAGGACATACCCCTGCAGAAGAGTCTGTCATTATTCTCTGAAGCCATTGACAGGGGTATTTATCATTTCACCGCAGAAGCCAAATCTCTAATTTCAAGCAAACCCGAATTGCGAGCCTTAGAAAGCATTCCACAAGGATCAAGCCCATTGTTTCCAACTCCAAATAAAAACTCTTTTTGCTTCTGGCTTTTGTGCAAAGCAATGTAAGCAGGATAACATTATTATCAACAACACACCCACCACCTTTCCTGTATTATCTCAGCCAGGTTGCTCTTATGTAGGCGCTCATCCTGGTTTAATAGCCAAGGGATAGTCCGATACATCGGATCCTGCTGTCATCTGGGAAAAAAAATAAAAAATGCTCACAATGCAACGCTTGTAACCTCCTTGCAGGAGCAGCAGAGCAAGAACAGATGCGTGAAAAGAAGACAATGCAGGTTTTTTGTTCTTGTTTTTTATTTTAAGACAAAGGCCTCATGTTCTCGGAAGCACCTTGATTTAATTTTTACTGACGAGGCAGGAAGGAGGGACCAGGGACTTCTTAAGCTGATTGTCAAGTCTGTGTCCTCCTGTCGACCGTGAGGTGGAGGTGGAAAAGAGGGTTTGTTTATGAGCTTGTCAATCCACCCTTTATTTACTGTCGCCTCACCTGTGCCAGGGCAATATCTCCCCGTCTGCACAGACCGGGAGCCATTATCCTGATTGGCAGTAAGAACTTGTCCTGCTTAAACCAACATTTCTCCGAGGAAGGGTTTCTTTGAGATGAAGGAATAATCTGAATAGCTGAGGTCAGGCTTGAGTAGGTGGAGCCAAAAAAAGAAAGCCACAGATTCTTAGAGCCTAAAATCTAGCCAGAGACTGAGGAATATTGCTTGATAACTTTCAAATAAAAGGCTTTTATGAAAGGCTTTCAATCCAGATAGGTTGCTGCAGAATAAGGAATATTCAAAGGCCTGTAAGGCCTGGAAAAGTGGTAAATAGGGCAGATCAAATGTGTGTCTTTTTTTTTGGTTAAAAATGCACTTTCCCCTTCAGTATCGTGTGTGCGAGGCTTTGAAATAATAGTTTCCGCCTGTTTTACATGTTTTTCTGTATTGTCGGGCTTCATACCTCACCAGAAAACATTAATTTATTTATTTTCTGACTCCACCCACCTGAGGTTTACCCCAACCAATGAGGTTATTTCTGCCCGGGAGAAATGTTTGTGCAACTAAAACTCTTAATTTGTGGTTAAGGGTTGTATTCCTTTTAGTTTCGGAGCAAGGCACTACTAAGTCTCTGCCAGGGCTTGTGGTGAATCACAAAAATGTGCGCGCTCACAATACTCCAAGCTGCTTTGGATAAAAGCATCCACCAAAATGACATATGATAAAAAACAAGCGTGATCCTGCATGCAGCGGATTGCAGCGGCGTCACAGCCGGGGAGTAATAAGCTCAGCCTGCGTGTTGGCTGGAGCTCTATGATTGCTCAGGTGGATGTGTTCCGTGTTGTATTTAATCGCTCTGTTTGGCGATTGAAGCTTTCTTCGCCTCCCCCGCCGCTTGTTGTCACGTTAAAGGTAAATAAGTCTCTGTCTGGCTCAGATGATAGCATTCATTAAGCATGCTGAATAAAGCCGTGGTGCACTGTGATGCACAGCGGTGCCTTTATTGGTTTCGCCATACCTTCTTCTTAAAGGCCTCATTGTCAGCGTTTGTCAGCGTGCATGGTACATCGAGGTACTCACCCTCCCTTCTCTGCTTTTTCTTCTTCTTCTGTTTTTGTGCAGATGAAATAAAAGATGATTTTGACACCCTGGGGCCTGATACCACTTTGCAGACAGTTGGAAACGGTACAGGTGAGTTCAGATATTTGCTGTATGTGTGTCAAACCTTTCATATTAAGCCATTCTTGTCTGGTGCCTTACGTGCATGTTTCTTTGTCAGTCTGCAAGTCTTTAAGGTCTGACAGCCCTATCGTTGATTATTAGTACTCTAACCTATTGGAACAAATAAACATAATAATGGAAGTCCTTTGTTTTTAACTCCGAAATATAGGGTAAGGGTTCTCTACCTCTACGTCAAGGATTGGATATTTTAGTTTTCTTTCTCTTACTGTTTTTTACCGTCTTTACATCTAGCAGGTCATGTTAAGAGGTTAAAAACTTACTTCCAGCAGCTCAGCTGCAACTTGTAGGACCTCGTAGATGTTTAGAGCTTCTCAAACTGAAAGTGAACTGTTCAACATGACCATTTCACGCCCAACACTGGGTTCAAATTCAGCTAAAGTTGTACGTTTTAAAGACCCCAAACTACCGACTACTGATCTAGGGTTAGGCTAAGCATATGTTTGTAGTTTCTAGTTTATGAAAAATTGACTATTTACTAAGTGATTGAAACTAAACAAATCCCTCCTTCTTAGATGTGTTGCTGGTGACCTGGTGGATGTTAAGAGGTTAGAAGGTCTTTGATGTGCCATCAGGCTGAATGTGGCTTTTTCAGTGGGGTTGGATTTCAGCTAATATCCAGCCCTTTGATGGCACTTCTGCCTGTTTTGGATACTCAGTTGGATAATCTCAAAAAAGAAGAACTGTAATGCCAAAATGTATGTAAGACATTTGATTAATTTGAAGGGTCACTAGTTTGTAATTCTAACCTTAACGGTTTATTGATAACCTGCTGAAGACTGATGGGGTCAAAATGACTTATTCCAAGTCAAAACTGGGTTTAAAACTAGACTAAATTTGGCTGTAACATAAAAGGTTGTGATAGTTATAACCACTAAACCACAGAACCTGAATCTCTTAAGATCTACCAGGTCACTGCCAACTGATCTAGAGCTAGAGTTATGGGTTTCCAATTTGTGAAAATTTGCCTAATTAACATGTGGATAAAAGAAAAATCAAACCTAAATGGGTTGCTGGTGGCCTGGTGAATGTTAATAAGTTAATACAGGCCTTTTTAGCTTTTTGCAGTCCCTGGAGGAGTTCCTGAACAGAACAAAGCAAACATATCCACAAACTGCGCGCTGTAATTAAAAGGAAATCTTCCTCTGCTGACTCAGTGATCACTGAGGCAATCCCGTGTATGTTTATAGGCAGCTGAAGTGATTTTGATTTTAATAACCATTGATTACACATGCTACTTTCAGCTTTCCCAGTTAGCTAAGTGTTTCTTCTGGTGGAGTCGAACACGATCTGCCATTTTTCATTAAGCCACCAAAGCTGATTTGTCGCCACATACCCTCCCTTCCATGATATCATCCTGGCCACCCTGACAATTGGCCTCGGACGCCGTTATGGTAAACCGAACTCGCCCCGCAGAACGCCATGCAGCCCTGAATCAAAATCCTCCCTTCAGCTTTAATTACCGTTACTTTCTGCTGGTGTTTTCCTCTTCGCTTTCTTTTCTCCTCTCCCCTTCTTCATGTTCTGGAAATTCAAGCCCAGCAAATGTTTTCCATTTAAAGGACTTTTGGAAACAATACTGTGGCACCGCTGTGGAAGCTCCCCGCCACTAGATCACATGTGATTTCATTTAAAGACATAAGCAGTTTGATCACGTCCCCCGATGCCAAAGCACACTTTGATCCAGGTGATTTCCTCGTCCGTTGGAAAGAAAGCTGGTCGTTTTCTCCTTAAAGAAACACTTTGCATGTATGTTTTTTCATCCAGAATATGTCCTCATTTTATTATTCCTGACGCTTGCATCAGCTGAATGTTAAAGTAAACCATGTTTCATTACCCTGAAGCTTTTCAGCTTTAAGTCCAGGAACTGCTTGCACTGAGCCGCACCCAGTCAATCATCAGTCAATCATCACAATTAGCTTAGCACTTCCTCCAAAGCCACAAAGAATCATCTAATGAGAAGACTGAGAATTATGCCATCACGGTTATCAAAAGCGATCCATTGGCACCGATGACATTTCGGTGCCATTTTTGACATCCAAATATCTACTACCTTGACCTTTCGCAAATTGGCCTGCAAAGTCATCACGGTCTAACAAATCGCTCTTTAAACCTCACCTTGGCTCGCAGTCTAAAAGCCTAATTAACAGGGGTGAAGTCTGATGAGATGTCACTTGGTTGTTTTTGTTTTGTGAGGATTTTTAAAAAATATATATTTTTGGTCACCAAACATCCTCCAGGATCTCTCCAGGTTGTAAAAAGTATGTGTGCGCGCGTACGTGTGATGTTTTGAAAGTCGGCCATCCCCTTGACTAATGAAGGCTGCTGATTTTCTTTTTGCTCCGGTTTGTTGTTTAGGAGGCAGCTATCTCCACGCTGCAGCTTAAGAGTTTCCCTGAAGAGAAGGGACTGGGAAATAATTTGAGAAAACGCATTGTGTGGCCTCAGCACTTTGGTTGGCTTAAGATTCATTCAGCTCAGCTGTGGCAAAGCATGCCCCCCGCCCCCACCCCCCACACTCTCTCTCCTCTCTCGCCCTTTCTTTCCCTTTTTTTTCTTCTCTTTTTGTGGTTTGGCCCTGGTAATCTGTTCAACACAGAATCAACAAAAGCCACAGCCTCTTGATTGACCTTATATGTGAAAGTCGATACTGAGAAACGTGGCTCTATTGCTGATTAAGCCAGGCTTGTCTGTATGTGTATGTATATGAGGCTCTTTTTTAAAAAATTATTTGAGTAAATTAGGTCAGTGAAGTTTTTTCAAGGCTCATGGTAGCACCTTTATCTCCCGACTTTTGTTCGGATTAAGTTACAGTTCTTGTTTTAGCCGACGTGGCGTGACAAGCAAGCCCAGTAATTTAGATGCATTCTCCCCAAAGCACGGCCGTAATGTTTTAGGGTGGCTATCCTCATCACATTTCCACCAAGATGTTCCCAATATCCTCCTGTAAGACATTTCTCTGGGGACGAAGGGAATCCAATTTATTCCTCTCGCCTCCCCCCCACCCTCCTGTCCTCAGTCTCCTCCTTCACAATCTCCATCTCTCTCTCTTCCTCTCTGTCACTTCAGTCAAGAGCGTCGATTGCACTTCAGAGTTGGAGGACTTCTTTGCCAAGCGGAAGCTGGATGACAGCGACAGCCACGTGGTGAGCATCGCCGAGTACCTGCAGCGGGGCGACACCGCCATCATCTACCCGGAAGCCCCCGAGGAGCTGTCCCGCCTGGGCACACCGGAAGCCACTGGACCGGAGGAGAACGGTACGGGTCCTGTCCAAGGGTTTGTAGGAAGGATCTGGGTCGAAAGATTAGGGTGAGAGGAAGGAAACAAGACAAGATGTAACCCAGAACAGCTATGACTCAGAAAATATTGGGAATTGATGCTAAGTTTGACCTAATTTTGATAACCTATCTATGGTTCCCTGTGTTAAGGAAGAGTTACAGGTAGGTTTAACCCCTCAGAGTCAGGGTTAGGGTTATTTTTAGTCACGTGTTAAAAGAAAGTAAAGTCTAAGTCATTGGGGTCATTGGCACTGACCCAACCCGAACCCTAACCTATCAGAATTTGTCATTATGTTTTTTTAATTGTTCTTCCAAATGTTCACAATCATGGGATACCAAAAAGGATCCTTCTAGATGGCAAGCATCAAATCTATTAAAGTTTTTTTCCTCTAAAATATAAGTAGGTTTAGGGTTAGACCTCACAGGGCTAAACAGGCATATTTTCAGGAAGGATAATATGATATCTTTCAAATTAAGCCTCATGCATTTGTTCTGGCATCATAGTTTTTCAGTTCAAGGTTGTCCAAGTAGACAAAACCTAACCCAAACCCTGCTCTTAACTCTAGATGTGTTGCCAGCAGCTTGGTGGATGTTTTTTGCAGAAAGACACCCACAATAACCTTTAAACTTGAAAAATGTCTTAAAACGTTCTTTAAACCGATGCATTTAAAAACCTTTCCTATTACTCCAGACCATTTTAAAGGATATCCAGCCTTAAATGTGCCTACTCTTATAGCATAACTGCTGCAGTAACTGAGGGTGCTTGCTCAGCTAATGTCCTGGCAAATGTTTAAAAAAAAAAAAGAAAAGAAAGGGGGAGAAAAAGTCTTCTCGCTGACACGACCGGGCAGCTGTTGGTCCCACAGATTCGCCGGATGCCTGGGTGTTTACCTACAGTCTTAAGCAACAGCTGGGCAGGGGCTTGAAATCAGATAGCACACCTTCGAAGCTCCCCGGAGGGAAAGAATTGGAAGAGGGGGGCTTGAATTTGAGCGGGATTGTGATTCACGCTACAGACACGATGAACGTGCCAGCGGTGGTGGTTAGGTGTGAGGGGACTAGAAAATGAGGGCTGTTTAAAGAAATTCGGACTATCTGTGGAATAGTGTGTGCATCCAGTACCGTGTACGTGTTTGTAACTATGTGGAGGAAAGTGAGAACAAGTGGGAGTGCTGTGTGTGAGTCGGGAGGAGGTCGTAGTGCAGCGGATGCCAGCCTGACACTGTGACTCTCATGTGGAGCAGATTGCAGAGATAACTCCCATACCACTCTGGGCAGCCCGCCCGTTAGTTGCCATTGATTCGCTGACCTTTTGGCCCGCTTTCCTTTCCCCTTCCTCCTCCCTCCTTCTCCTCCTCCCGCTGTCTCCTGTGCAGACCTGCCACCTGGAACGCCAGATGCCTTCGCCCAACTGTTGACCTGCCCCTACTGCGACCGGGGCTACAAGCGTTTGACATCGCTAAAGGAGCACATCAAGTACCGCCATGAGAAGAACGAGGAGAACTTCGCCTGCCCCCTGTGCAACTACACGTTTGCTTACCGCACTCAGCTTGAGCGGCATATGGCCACACACAAGCCTGCAAGGGATCAGGTGAGGGGGATATTCTTTCTTTTTTCTCCTTCTTCTTCCTCATCCCATCCCCTTCTTCCTGTTTTTCCCTCCTTCCTTTTCCTCCTCTGTCTGTCCCCTGTTTCATTTCATTTCTAATGTGCCCCGATCCCTCAGAGAAGGGAGATCATTTTTTCTGATTGGCAATCATTATTAATTTTTCATGGCATTTTGAAGATGCAGATCCTTTAATGGTAATAACTTTAATTGAGGCCCTAAATGGTTTTTTGATGGCCCTCCCTGATATGATTTTCCAGTCTCGTGTTCACGATCGAATGATTGTGTTAATTTCCAATTTGGAAATTTTTATCAGCTCCTTAACTTCACTTCACTCCTGGCCTTTAATGTTCTTCTGGTGCAGCCCGCAGTCGTAGCACTCCATCAAACTCCACCCCCCTCCACTTCTAATTTCATGCACTGCATAAACATCTGTGTATACTTTAATTTTTTTCTCCCACGATTTATATCCTGTACGTCTGAAATATAATGTGAATCCGCTGGCAGTTAGCATGAATCACCTTAAAGTTCTGTGAGGTGAAAACGCATCCAGCAGTTACGGGTGTTTAACTCGCTTGTCAGCTTTTAGTTGAAGATGTGCGCTGAGATAGATTGTGGCCAAAAAAAAATTGCACGCTTTCAGAGTTTTTGCACATTTGGGGATAATTATAAGTTCTCAGTAAGCTAAAATCGGAGCAGTAAATTTCAAAGTAGATGAAGTTGATGTTTTTGCTTCGGAGGATAATTATAATTGAAGAATTTTTGCTTTATTAAAAACTGCGACTTAACCTCTAAATGTAAAGAATCCACTTATGCAGACATGTAAACAGCGCCATGCAACAGTCATGCCAAACTGTATCGTATTATGAGTTAATGACACTTCAGCCAGCAATCCATTGATCCACCTATGAACAATCACTTGATAAAAGTAGGGACAAGAAACTCCCTTTTTCTCAGGAAGAGACCTCCAGCAGGCAGCTGTTTGGCCTTTAAAAAAAAACAAAAAAGAAAAACAGAATTTTTTTTCACTCAGACACCCTGAAATCATTGGCTAATAATTTGTAAAAATTTGTTAATTTATTATTTTTAACTACATAAATAATACAATTCTGTAATAGTTACATTCTGATTATATAACAAGCTATTAATGATTAATAAATGTTACCATTACTTTCCTAATTTTCTTAGCTCACCTATAAAACCACAGATTCAGTCAACCCTGATCTGAACAGCCTTCCCCAGCCTAATGTGAACCTAGACTACAAACAAAACCAAACAATGAGTAAGACAGGAAATGATGTTTAACCATCTATAAACACAAACTATTAAGTAGCAAATAATATTGTCATTTCGTGGTTTGTTAAAAGTAGAAAAACTGATGTAAATCTGTGTTGCAATGGTTATTGTAGACATGCCAGTAATCAGATTATGTATGGGTCTCAGTAAGAAACTTAGTTAAACATTTTACTATTAACTAATAGCAGTAATAACTTGGCGGATTGTAATAATAACTAGACTAATGTAGGGGGTCCAAAATGAATGTAATGTACTTGTCTGCCAAACTAAGTGAAAAATCAAGAATGAATTGGTCCTGGAGAGATACAAAGGTAACTACCAATTTATCGTTTATTACCAATGTTTATTATAAAATGTTAGACTTTTTTCTTTTACATACAGAGAAACTACAGCTCAAATGGGTCAGCCCCGTTTGGAGAAAAATAATCTGTCACGTCTCGGTGTCCAATTTTCTCTTGGACTTCCTCTGCTAGAAAAACCTTGTGATGCAAGTAGAGTTATAAAAAAAGAACTGAGCCATTCAGCCAATAACAGATGATATCATGTACTCTGATGCTTTGCGGTGTTCAGTCCCAGGTCGTGGGTGTTGTGTTGTGCTCTCTGAAGCGAGGATGACAGGCTCAGACTGTGGCTGATTTGATCAGATGTCAGCAGCCAGCACTTTCACCTGATCTACCAGCTGGGTGTAAACGTGAGCAGATGGGCCGGCCGACTGAGCCGCTGTCCCAATCCTCATATTACAATGCTGTTGCTGCTCCCCTCCGGAGTCCAGTCAATGGCCAAAGACTCCTATTCAAGCACCGTGGCTCCTTCTACAAAGCCGGTTATCTTGATTTGTAAATGAGCTGGATTGTTTAAGTGCTAATCCTCCAGATGAGATTGAGGTGATGTCTTACTCATTTTGATTCCTTTCCCTAGGTGGCGCTCTTGTTTTTTTTTAGCCTGTCCTCTAATTATCGACACTGACAAACTCCACTGTTTGCTTATATTAGATATACATTTGGCAATTAACAACAAGCCGAGCCGCAGTCAGATTAACATAAAGAGTAATGTTCTGATAGGTAAACATGTGCTGCTCCGTTCTGTCTGCTATGTTTACAAGCGTTAATACTCCTCCTCCTCTTAAGCAATTAGCTGAAATATGACTAATTAGAGGTTATACATATGCAAACATCCAGTCCAATCCAGTCGGGCCCCCGCCCACAAACAGCAGTGGTGGCATTCACACAGACAACAAGCCATGAAGGAGAGACGGAGCGTTTTCGCCAGTGCCATTCACAATTATGAGCACGGAGCAATTGTGTCTTATTAGCAGTGGTGGCGAGACTAAACTTTACCGGGCAGGGGTCCTCAGGGAGGGGGAAGTAAGAGGAAGGTGGTGGCGGTGGCGATGGAGGTGGGGGCGGAGGTAGCGAAGCAGCTGTTGCTGTTTGTTTATGCAACTCAGCAACATACGAGCGGTGGGGTCCCTCTCCGGCGCTTGGCGGGGCCTCGACTCTCCCTGCTTGATCTTTGAAGGTTGGGGCTGTTTGAACAATTCCTCCCAGTCCTCCCAGTGTCCTGCGCGCCACCATCTGTCTCCCCAGGAATGTGGGTAGAGTCAGCACACACCCCAGCATTTGTCAAGGCTGAACTGGGAGGAGGGAGTCGCTCTGCTTTTCCCCTTAGCAAGCTCAGAGAAAATGTGTGTCTCTCTCTTTTTTTCTTTTATCCATATTTACTAACCATTTAACATCCCTACCTCCCACTTGGAATTAATTGTTTTGTGAGTGACGAGCCAGGTTTACACACCCCGTGTTGTTGTTGCTGAGTATTATTATATTTTGATTTTTCTTTCCCTTTTTTTAAGAGAGGAAGGCTCTGTTTGAATTGCAAATGTGATGGATTGCAACTGATGTTTACCTTTTTTTTGAACAGCAAAATCAAGGCCGGGCCCATGTGCTGGCTTCTTTATCCCAAGATTATTAAAGAGACATTTGAGGGTTTTGTTTTTTTTTTTTTGGGGGGGGGGGGACC